ATGGCTCTAACATATTTTTTATGCATCTTTTAATGGCACTAGGAAGCCATTTCTTCAGTGACATTATATTTGTCATCATTACCTCTAATAAAAAATGGCAAGGGGAAAACCATATTTTTAGCAGCAGTGCTGTCATCCATTGCCAAAGCATGAAACTTAAAATTAGTGCTTTTACTTTCCAAACTTCTTTCAATAGATTTTCCAGCGTCTTCAGTTTGCCTGGCTGCAGTCTGGCACGACAACTGATTTTAGAAATATACCCCTTTCTTCTGGGCAAATTATATTTGCCATTCTTTCCGTACATTGCTCAATAAACTCACCATCAGCAAGGGGTTTTGATTCTTTTGCGATTAAACGTGCTACCGTATATAACTAGCTTTTACAATGAAATCCATCTGAGTTGTAACTTTAAAAAAGTTTTTTGTTGAGAAGAGAGGCTTTTCATCAGTTCCCGTTGTGTCTTCATGACACAATTCTTTGTATGCATCAAAGTTGGCAGCATGTTTTTGCACATATTGCCTTTGCAAATTATAGTCTTTGAAAAGTTGCACAAATATTCTACAAATTAATAAGAGTGCTTCATTATTTGCCTCAACAAAAAAGTAGTCATTTGGCTCAGTGCCTGTGGCTCAAATGGCTAAGGTGCCAGTCACATACACCTACCTGAGCTGGCGGGTTTGAATCCAGCCCGGGCCCGCCAAACAACAACGACGGCTGCAACCAAAAAATAGCCAGGCGTTGTGGCGGGCGGCTGTAAAAGCAGCTACTTGGGAGGTGGAGGCAGGAGACTTGTTTGAGCCCAGGAGTTGGAGCTTGCTGTGAGCTGTGACACCACAGCACCCTACCCAGGGCGGCACCTTGAGGCTCTGTCTCAAAAAAAAAAAAAAAAGTAGTCTTTTGTCCTCTTTTCACTGAACAATCTTCCATCATCTGTAATTTTTCATTTTTTGAATTGTTTTCTTTTTGAGATGTTGTAGGAGCCATGCTGGGATTAAAAAAGTAATAATAGATAAAGGGCTATATTTGCTTTTTTTTTTCCGAGACAGAGTCTCATTATGTCACCCTCTGTAGAGTAGTGTGGTGTCACAGCTCACAGCAACCTCAAACTCTTGGGCTTAAGTGATTCTCTTGCCTCAGCCTCCCAAGTGGCTGGGACTACAGGTGCCTGACTATTTTTTGGGTTGTAGTTGTCATTATTGTTTGGCAGGCCTGGGCTAGGTTCAAACCCGCCAGCTCCAGTGTATGTGGCTGGCACCCTAGCTGCTGAGCTACAGGCACCGAGCCTATATTTACTTTATTTTTTTTGTAGAGACAGAGTCTTACTTTATTGCCCTTGGTAGAGTGCTGTGGCATCACACACCTCACAACAACCTCTAGTTCTTGGGCTTTAGGTGATTCTCTTGCCTCAGCCTCCTGAGTAGCTGGGACTACAGGTGCCTGCCACAATGCTTGGCTACTTTTTTGTTGCAGTTCTACCAGGCCTGGGTTTGAACCTGCCACCCTCAGTATATGGGGCCGGTGCCCTAGCCACTGAGCCATAGGCATTGCCCTAATTACTTTTATTATGAAATTTATTTATTTATTTATGTATTTATTTATTTATTTATGACAAGAGTCTTACCTTGTCACCCTTGTTAGAGTACTGTGACATCATGCCTCACAGCAATCTCAAATTCTTGGGCTCAAGTTATTCTCTTGCCCTAGCCCCCCAAGTAGCTGGGACTACAGGTGCCTGCCACAACGTCCGGCTATTTTTAGAGATGGGGTCTCACTGTTGCTCAGGCTGGTCTCAAATTCCTGAGCTCAGGCAATCCATCTGCCTCAGCCTCCCAGAGTGCTAGGATTACAGGCGTGAGCCACCCTTTACATCTCAGCTGCCGATGCAGGGCATGGCAGAGGACAACTGTAAAGCTCAGTGGTCCATGTGTGAGGCATCATTGAGGTGTGGAAGTACTTTAGTGATCTAATAAGAATGCTCATCTGACTTTTAAGTAACATTAAATGCCTAACATTGCAATATCATCGATAATCACTGCCTTGCCAAGTCACCACGAGCACAGGGAAGGTCTAATGACGTTAACTGGACCATTTGTGCTGGGAAGACAACCCACTGGAAGCCACACACCACATAAAACTGAAGCCACACATGTGTGCAAATGGAGCATATGTGTTTTATTTTATGTGACATTGTGACACTGCATTGTCACGTACAAAGCTCACACTTGAGAACTGTGCCACTGAGTTCTACCAAGAAATCACAAAAAACAATCTCCTAGCGTTTTGAGTAAGTTTATGATTTTGTGTTGGGTGGGCTGTGTTCATAGCCATCCTGGGCTGCATGCAGGCCACGGGTTGGACACCCCTGAAGAGTTTAGTGAAAGTATTCCGATATCAGTTCCATAGCTTTGCTAAATGTACCGGTGTAATGTGAGATAACATTAGGGGAAACTGGGTGAAAGGTATAGGGAAGCTCTGTGCTGTCTTGGTAACTTTTCTATTAGTCTAAAATTATTCCATAACAAAAAGTTTATTAAAATAGATTCTTATTATAATTGATACTCATTTCGTTCTCACAATGTCTCTGTGTAAGTGCTGTAATTATGCCATTTACAAATGCAGAACTGAGATACGCAGAAGTTAAATCACTTCCCATGGACACCCTCAGTTCATAAACACCATAGGAATGTGTGGTGGGCTGGGATTTAAGTAGAGTGCAATCACAAACGTTTATTTCATGTAAGGCACTACCCTATTTGCTATGTCAATAGAGAATGCTGACGGTAGGTAATCTTTGAAGGTCATTACAAGTGGGAACCCATATTCACACAGTGCTAAGTGCAGAGTTGAGGTAGGAACCCAGCTCCTGATTCAGGACCCATGCTCTTAACCATTGCGGTAGACAAACGGGGTGACGAGTGGTGATTAGAGTCACGTGCAATTTACAGTGGAGGTGCAGAGGTAAATGCGTTTAGGGATAGCCAGCTTCAGGCTGAGGGGTTTGATCTGAGACTTCAACATGAACATCATTTGATCTGGGTAGTGAGAAAAGAAAAATCTGGAATGGGTCTTGGGGCCTGGGTTGAGCCTCCCCTTTCTGCTTCTTTTCTCTTCTCCCCTCGGACCAGCCCCGAGAGCTCCATCACACACGTGGCATTTGGCCATTCTGCTTAGCACTTCAGAAAAACATCAGCTCATGGTGCATGGAACCTGAGCTTTGGAACAAGGCAGCCCGCTGTTCCACACTTATACTCTGTTCTAATTATGTGACCTTGAGTTGGTTACTTTGCCCCTCCCAGCCTTGGGAAAAGGAGGGGAACAACGACCACCTGACCTGGTTCTTGTCAGAGTTAACCCCCTGAGGAAATGTGTATCAAGCCAGGACATTCTGAGTCCCTGGTAAAGACGCATAAGTGGCAGCCACCTCCATGTGCCTCGCTTCCTTATTTTATACAAGGCTTATGAGATACAAGTCTGCTTATGTTGCTAAATATTTCCTAGGGAGACAGCTTTACAAAAAGGAAAGCGCATGGGCTTTGGGAGACTGTGCTACTTACCAGATGGGTGACCTTGGTCAGTTTAAGCTGCCCAGGCCTCAATTTTCAGTGAGGTAGGATTGTGAAGATTATTCGTATTACTTTGGACTCCCCCCCCCCCAAACTGTTTGCTTCTTAAGGAGGATCTTAAAATGGTATATTTCTCATATCCCTCCCTCCAAACACTTACTTTGGGGACATAGTAGGTACTCACTAAACACCAGTTGGCTTGCTTTTCTTTTAATTTTTATTTCTTTGCTTTTTTATTTTGTTGTTGTTGTTGTTGTTGAGACAGAGTCCCATCCTATGCCCCTGAACAGAGTGCAATGGTTTCATAGCTCACTGCAACCTCAGACTTGGGCTGTGGGCATCCCGCTGCCTCAGCCTCCCAAAGTTGCTGGGATTACAGGTGCTTGCCATGGCGCCCAGCTGGGCTTTTCCATTTTTTTAGGGATCTGGGTCTCACTCTCACTCAGGCAAGTCTCGAACTCCTGAGCTCAAGCAATTCTCCCTCCTCAGCCTTCCATGATGCTGGGATTACAGGCGTGAGCCACCGCACCTGGTGCAGTTGGCTTGCTTTGGGTGTGGCCTCCCTCAGCAATTTAGATGCATCCAACAGCTTTTTTTTTTTTTTTTTTTTAGACTGAGTCTCACTTTGTTGCCCTTGGTAGAGTGCTATGATGTCACAGCTCACAGGAACCTCCAACACCTGGGCTTAAGTGATTCTCTTGCCTCAGCCTCCCTAGTAGCTGGGACTACAGGCGTCCGCCACAACGCTTGGCTAACGTTTCACTTTCTTGATGAGGTCCATTGAGGTACAAAAAGGGAGAGTTTTTTTTTTGTTTTGTTTTGTTTTGAGATAGAGCTTCAAGCTGTCCTCCTGGGTAGAGTGCTGTGAGATCACAGCTCACAGCAACCTCCAACTCCTGGTCTCAAGTGAGTCTCCTGCCTCTGCCTCCCAAGTAGCTGGGACCACAGGCGCCTGC